CCCCAAAACCCCAAAACCCCAAAACCCCAAAACCCCATATTGAAGAGGTTGGGTTGAAACACTACAATATAGTAAAATTATGCCTCATAACATTGATTAGAACTTCATTTTATTTCCTTGGTATTCAGCAATATTGCCTTTACCAGCAGGAGGTTTACTGAAGCCACCTCTACCACCACGTCCACTACCGCCTCTGCTGCCGAATCCGCCTCTGCCGCCGAATCCGCCTCTGCCGCCGAATCCGCCTCTATCACCACCGAAGCCGCCTCTATTACCGCCGTTTCTATCACCACCGAAGCCGCCTCTATTACCGCCTCTATCACCACCACGATTAGCTCTTGGGGCACTAAGGTCAATTCTCAAGGCTCTACCCTCAACTCTCTCTCCATGAGCAGCTAAAGAAGCTTTAGCTTCCTCAGGAGTTGAGAATTCACAGTGTGCGAATCCTCTTGGATTCCCATCCATGTCATGGGCGACTCTCAAATCAGTAATATTACCGTAATTGGCAAAGAAATCCCAAAGGGCTTCCTTGGTAGTGTTGTATCCAACGTTTCCGATAAAGATACAGCAAGATCCCTCGGCATCTGGATTAACTGGGCGTTTCTCATGCTTATTGGGCTTATCAGCAGAGAAACTAACTCTCATAGGCCTGCCATCAAGTTCATATTCGTTGGCCTGCTCAAGAGCAGCTTTAGCTTGAGCATGATTTCCGAATTCTACGAACCCAATTCCTTGGGATCTTCCATCTCTGATGAGCACATTTGCTCTTTTGATTTCTCCGTAATATTCGAAGGTCTCCTTCAAATAAGCGTCATCGACGTTCCATGAGAGGTTTCCAACGAAGAGCTCGGTTGGGCCTTCAGTCTCTTCTGCTTCTTCTTGAGCTGGAGCTTCTTGCTTTTCTTCCTCCATTTCAGCATCTTGATGCTCTTCTTTTTGAGGCTTCTCCTCAGATTCTTCTTCGGATTCAGAACTGGATTCTATCTCAGCTGACTTCTTAGCCTTGGATGGCTTAGGAGCTTCATCGGAGGAATCTGACTCAGAGCTGCTAGATTCCTTGACTGGAGCAGCCTTCTTAGTCTTCTTGGCCTTCTTTGGCTCTGACTCTTCTTCGGATGAGGAATCAGATTCGCTTGACTCTTCCTTAGCTGGAGCAGCTTTCTTTTTGGCAGCAGTCTTCTTTGGCTTTTCCTCTTCTTCAGATGAAGAGTCAGAGTCGCTTGAAGATTCCTTTACTGGAGCTGGCTTCTTTGCTTTCTTTTCAGTTTTCTTTGGTGCTTCCATTTCCTCATCTGATGAATCTGAATCGCTGGATTCTTCCTTAACTGGAGCGGCCTTCTTTGTTTTAACAGCCTTCTTTGCTTTAGCAGCCTTCTTTGTTTTAGCAGCCTTCTTTGGCTTTTCTTCTTCAGATGATGAAGAATCAGAATCGCTAGAGGACTCCTTTACAGGTGCTGGCTTCTTAGCCTTCTTGGTAGTCTTCTTAGCCTTCTTGGTAGTCTTCTTAGCAACCTTCTTTTCTTCTTCAGATGATGAGTCAGAGTCAGAATCGCTTGACTCCTTCTTAGCTGGTGCCGACTTCTTTTTGCTCTTCTTTGCAGGTTTAGCAATGACATCAACACTATCGCTGTCAGAATCATCACTGCTTAGGTTCTCTTCTACCTTTGGCTTCTTAGTAGTAGCTTTAACTGTCTCTGGCTTTCTCTTCTTACCAGCAGCAGGGGCTTCATCGCTATCAGAAGAGTCGCTATCGCTTGAGGAAGGCTGTTGTTGCTTAACGAACTTCTTCTTTTCAACAACTGGTGCTTTCTTAGTCTTCTTGGTCTTGACTGGTTCCTCAACACTGCTGTCGCTATCACTGTCGGAGGACTCTTCACTCTCTTGTGCTTTAGCTTTGGCTTTAAGCTCTTTCTTGGAAAGTTTGGCTTCTTTCTTGGACTTCTTGGTCTTTGGCATTTTATTTTATTTATTATTAATTCAAACGCGCTCAACTTTTTATAGATCTTCTGGGGTTTTGGGGTTTTGGGGTTTTGGGGTTTTGGGGTTTTGGGGTTTTGGGGTTTTGGGG